TAAGTAAAAAAAAAAAGACCACAGAAAAAATTATTATTATTATTATTAGTGCCTCAGCAGATGGTGCTTCTGGCAGCACTTGCTTAAATATTTATTTCTGTGTGGGTTTCCTCCCCCCTTGTCATTGGGGTGGGGTTTTTTCTTCCTTCTTTCACATCATCGTTACAGGGTAATGAGTCTGTAAACACTCAAAGCATGCTGACTGCTTTATTTATTATTTTTATTGTTATTTATTTATCAACTCTTGCCAGATCAAGACTAGTTCTTTCTGGCCCCCCAAAAAATTACATAAATAGATACATAGAAATGAACTGATTAAAGAAAGGGGGAGGGGCTTGTTATGGTGAAAATGAATTTATGTGCCTGTATGGACAATTCAGGGGGTTGGATTTGCATAGCAGTGTGATTAAATGGCCTGTGACCTTGTTTCAGGTGCGTGTGTGTGTTAGTGTGCTTGGAAATTGTGGGTTCGTTGGTGTAAATTAAGAGGGGTGTTGATGTACCTTAGAGTATGTGCATGTAAATGTGTGCGCGTGTATGCATGGAAGTAAGTGTGTGGTGTGTAAGCTTTCCTGTTAGGAAAAAGCTAAACAGATGCTGTGCTTTAAAAATTAATAGCTTTGAACTGTTTCAAGTGTCAGAAGAAACACGGGATAAATATAACCCTTTAGGAGCCTAACCTCACAGACTGAAAGAGCAGAATATGCCCTTTGTGCTGTGTTTGCCACTTCCCTCCTTCCCCAAGCACACGGTTTGGTAGAAAACTTGCCTCTCCCTTCCTGTGCTGTATACACCATACACACCTTTCTGTGGCACGTGGAAGGGAGAGTAAGAGTTTGAAGTGCTGGAGTGCTTGTTTAGTTGTTTCTTTTAAAGCTGAGCCTGTGAGTTACTCCTGCTAGGATGCTTAAAGTAACTTATCCCGTACCGTCAGATCTCTTCAGTGTCTGGCCCTTCTTGCACTGCAGTTGGCATCTCTGGTAATTTTGTGTCCTCACTTTCAATGATATTTGGACTGCTTTGCTTCAAAGGTGTTTATTTGTCAGCAAGGTCTTTATCTTGCTCTCGTCTCTGCCTGGCCTGCACTCCACAGTTCTCCAGCCCTGCACAGCCCTTTGCTTTCTCTTCCTCATCTCATCTCATCTCATCATTGGAATAGGGAGGAAGCTTTCCACAGAGCAATTTCTTTCCTTTAAAGCTGCTGGCGGTGCTGCTGACATAAAGCCCTGGACTAGCAGGACCAGTTGGTTCGATCTGCTGCCAAGCTGCATGTACCTGCTTAGTGGCACAGTGACTCAGGCTGCTGCTTGTGTCCTGTACCAGCCTCACAGCAGCCCGGGCACTGAGCAGGAATTGTTTCCTCTGCTTTCTGCTCCACACCTTTGTTTGTGCAGCCAGCCTTGCTGTTTGCTGGTGGTTTGTTTCTTCTCTGCTGCTGAGGTTTGTTCCAGTTTCTCAATCACCTGTTCTGACGTGATCCTGATTTCCTGCAGTATTTCTTCTCCTTCCCCAGGGAAAGGCATGTCTGCTCCTGGCATCTGTCCCTGTCTCCCTTTGTGAATGCTGAGGCAAAGAAGTCATTTAATTTTTTAGCAATGTCTATCTTTTCTGTCAATTAAGCCCCCTTTCCATCTCCTGAAGGCCCTGCTGTCTCCACAGTTGACCTCCTCTTCTTTACTGTGCTTCAGAAATGCCTTATTTAGCCTTGCTTTCCATCCCGACTTTTTCTGTCCTGTAGCTTAGAGTTACCTCACCTTATGATGATCCGTAATATTCCCTGCTCCTGCCCCATTCCTTGATGGCCCCAGGATATCCTCACTCCTCTCATTTTTTCCTTTTTACCCGTTGCCCTTCCTTGTTTCTTTCCCGTGCCCTTTATCATACGCACTCCTGCTGCGTTTAGCACTAAGTGACGGGAGGAACCTTTGAGGAACCTTTGAGCAGATGGTACTTTATCTTTGAATGTTTCCCCTCTGAGTCTGCTCCTCTCCACTGCTTTTCCCTTTCAAGCTCTTCAGCTCTTCCAGGGTCCTCTAGAATATACATCAGAGAGTTCATTGCACTGATTAGCCCGTTACTGGATCATCCCCTTTTGCCAGTTTGTGCTGTGTCTGTCAGTCACTATATTCTATGTGCTCTCTGTTTGTATGTAGGTATTATATGGCATTTCTGCCTTTCTGGGGATTTTTCCACCCTGTATGTTGGGAGTCTCCAAATCTCTGTGGAATGCTCAGTGGTGACCTGCACAAATGGATTGGGTGCATGTTGTTGGCTGTTGCTTCTTGTGTCCTACTTTTAATGGCACTCAGAGGCAGACTGAAAACCCTGTTTCTTGCATTGCATTTCTTTTTGTTGTGAGCAAATACTCTATCCACGTGGAGAATAATGATTAGCAGGACTGTTGTGCATTGGAGAAGATGCACTCACAGGGCTGAGGTGGTCTGCCTGTAATGCTTCCTTCTGCTCCTGTTGATCCATCTCACCTATCTTTCTGTTGATCTGCCCATCTTACTGAAAGTTCCTGTGCAATCTTGCCATGATCATCTTCTATCTGCGTGGTTTAATCTAATCCACTGGTTTGCAATCTTCTCTGTAGTGTGACACCATGCTGTGACTAAAAAAAAAGATAAAAATAATCTTGAGACATAACTTGTACAAACAATTGAATGCCTGAGCTTTTCTGAGGTATCTAAACTCACACAGGAGAATCTTAGAATTGATTGAGGTTGAATTCAAGGAACCCTCCTTTCTTACTCAGCTCCAGGTAAGCAACTTAGATAATGGAGGTGAATTTAAAAGGGAAAGACAGACAGATTAGGGAAGTACAAGACCTGAATAATCCTGTTCAAGATGCACCTTTAAATAGTGACAAGTAAGAAGAGGAAGGCTGAGGGGTCACCATCTCCTTGGAGGGGATAAAGAAGAACGGTTTTAATGCTGTAAACATGTGGAATGAAATCAGGAATGAGACTTACTTTATTTGGACCTTGCTTACATGCATTGCTCTCAGGACACTGTTTTATTCTCTTTTCCTTTCTTTCTTCTGTCCTCCTCTCATGTTTGCAGGTTCTCTGGCAGCCAGCACTGTGGACACATACACTGTGCATACCAGTATAGAGAACATTACCACTGCCTTGACCCCGAGTGCAACTATCAGGTAAAAGAATGGTAAAAAGTTACCAGCACGGCTACCTGAACGTAAAGGGGTAGAACCTGGGGGAGATGTGTGCCCCCCTGTGCTTTTCTCCCCCATACACACACATGCCTCTTCACTTTTCAAGGGCAAGATATATTTTGAATTTACTACAACCCTATCTTGTTCCCATTTAACCCAATCTAACACCATTTAACCAAACCCAAACCATTATAAAGAAGAGCAGAATATAGATCAGCTCAAGTCGGTGGGAACTGCTCCAGATCTGTATCAGTGAAATTCTGCTGTGTTACAAATTGTGCCTGAAACTAGGGAA